GAAGCCAGAAATGTTTCTGTCCATATAATTGTTTGCAATGCCCATTTCAAAGGAAGTGAAACAATTAAAATCTGTTTGGATCCCAAGCATTCTAACAGCTGAAGAGGAAATTAAGTTGACTTATTCCCTCCCATGCCACCATCTTAGAGTGGCTAAGAGCTAGCCCGTCTCTACAACTTGTGAACAGGAAATGCTATTTCACTTTGAAGGGAGCCCCTATCAAGCAAAGGATCCTGTGGTTGGTGTCTCAAAGCAGCACTCTTGTGGGTTGCCCATTGAACAGGAAACACTTAATTGCCATGCGGCTTAGGATGTTATAAACCACTTAATAAGAACGGCCGTACTGGGTCAGACCAAAGGTCCTTCTAGCCCAGTATCCTGTCTACCGACAGTGGCCAGCACCAGGTGCCCCAGAGAGGGTGGACTGAAGACAATGATCGAGCGATTTGTCTCCTGCCATCTCTCTCCAGCCTCTGAAAAACAGAGGCCAAGGACACCATTTTATCCCCTGGCTAATAGCCAGAAACATGCGGGGTTACACACCATTTTCTCCCCTTCTCTTTCACTCCCCATCCCCCCTCTTTCTCTATTTGCAACCTGGACCCCTTTCCGCCATTCTTCTGAAGAAGTTGGTTGTGCCCACATAAGCTCAGGATACCATCTACATTTTTTATTAGTCTCTAAGATGGTGCAGGACTATTTGCTGTTTCTTCCAGTTAGGGTGCGTCTATACTGCACCCTTAGCTCATAATACGTCACGCAAATTGAGTTGCTTATTTGGAGTGTATTTTGAAATAACTTATTTTGTAACTTGGTGGTGTCTACACAGCGCCAAATTTTGAAATAAATCATCATTCCAAAATGTCCCTTAATCCTCGTGGAACGAGGTTCTAGGGATATCAGAATAGCATGCCCGTTTTCAAAAGATCTTTTGAAACAATGGGCGTGCTGTCAAGATGCGGAATAACTATTTCAGGATACCGGAAGTATCCAAAATAGTGCTGCCGTGTAGATGTACCCTTACAAACAAACATGGCTACCCCTCCAAAACTTTTCCCTTGCCTCCTATGCCCATGTGTGCCAAGGCTGGGCGCTCTAGCCATGCCCATCTGTGGGGGAAGGCTTCAAGAATGAGGGCCTAGGGAGTATAAAATGGCCTTGAAGCCGGATGCTCCCTGCTGGAGAGAGCTGAGGGGGGAGCAGAGGGAAATGCGGCCTCTACCACTAGATGCGTACTGGGTTGCTCCTGCAATCGTGCATTGCCCCTTTAATTGCGTCCCCAGCCCTCTGGCATCTGTCTGATGCCCACGTCAGCAAATCCCTTTTGTTTCTCTCCAGTTTGGGCTGGGGCAGTGGGACACACTAGCTGCATCGGAGAGCCTTGCGCTGGGCCTGGGGGGTCCCGCATCCACCTCCTGCTCTGCCTGGAGCCCGGCGGGTAAGTGGAGGCACTGGGTGCTGCAGTAGGGGCGCTGCAGGGAGCA